GTGATAACTGATATTGAGGGGATAGGAGAGCATGAGTAGGCTATGATTGATACAGACATTGATGTTGAGACAGATGATGTGTAATACTATGATGTGATCGTGATATGATTGTGATTGATGACATGTGCATATTCATTATTCATCCCATGTGTGAACTATCTGTTGCATGAGTTCTGAGACACTGATATGAGGATGGATGGATATGAGACACAGTTGAGACTAGCTCCGGCTAGAGATATATGAGATGGACTAGCTCCGGCTAGCGATTTGGATGCCGATGGGATCTGGTTCCGGCGGTGGTACATGGTCCATGTGTGGCCCCCATGGGTTCTGATTTGAGTATTCAGCGCGGTCTGAATTACGTCAACAGATGTGTATCTTAGGACAGACATGCATCACGACTACATGACATCATTATTGCATTTGCATCGCATTTGACTTCATCTTTGTCTGTGGTGTGTGGATTTTACCTACTTGCTCCTCTTCATGTGATATATGATCTATTTGCTCTTATATGAGGATATGAGGTTGATGTTGAGATACTGTTGGATATATCTGTTGATTATGAATTGTGTAGTATAGGTTGTTGGTTCGCTGTTAGAATGAAGTTTCGGTGGTTCGATTGGGATTGAAAGGAGTTGTTTGTAGCTGCTAGTTTAGCTTAGTTTAGTGTTACTTGCGAGTACCTGTTGCTTTTGGTACTCACCCTTGCTTCTACACAGTTGTGTAGGTTGACAGCTCTATCAGATCCGGCTTATTACTCATCTTCAGATTAGAGCTTCCAGACTTACTTGAGAGGTAGCGGTTCATTCCAGACGTGCCCTCAAGTTATCTATATTTACTGTTCTGTTCTATTCTAGAACTTTACTATGAGACTTGTATATTTTATTCAGATTCTGTATTAGAGGTTTGTACATGTGACAATCAATTCTGGGGTTATGTTGAGTTTATTTAAAGACTTCCGCTTATCTTTCTATCTTATTCTTGTTTATAAATTCTGTATCGTCGGGTTTTTGGGTGTTAGGCTGACGTGTCCGGTGGGGTTTGGGCACGTGTCATCACATCCGGTTTTGGGGTGTGACAGTTGCTGAGGAGGTCTTGTTAAAGACAAGAAAAAAAGATCAACAGGCCCTCACTCTTATCCATCAATGTTTGGATGATGGCATGTTTGAGAAGGTGGTTGATACAACCACCTCAAAAGAAGCTTGGGAGATTTTACAAAATTCTCTCCAAGGAGTTGATAAAGTAAAGAAGATAAAACTTCAAACTCTATGGGCTGACTTTGAAGTTTTAAAAATGAAAGAATCCAAATCCATTTCGGATTTCTGTTCAAGATTGATGGCTGCTGTAAATCAACTAAGAAGATACGGGGAGGAACACTACTAAAAAATAGCTAAAAATCGACGGAAGTAAAAGCGACGGTTTGGAGCGACTCCATTAGCCACACTGTCCGTCGCTTTTTAATAAAAGTAAATTTTTTTGAAAAGCGACGGACGGCATCGCTTAGTCTGTCGCTTATTTTTGCGAATTTTTGTGCCAAATATATATAATGAAAATTAATTATTTTATATAGATAGCGACGCAGTCCGTCACTTTCTATTAAAAATAATTATTTATTATTTAAAAAAAGCCATACCGTCCGCTTTTTATTAATTTAAATTCTTAATCTTTTTTTAAATAAGCCACGGAATGCATCTTTATGTCCGTCGTTTTTTGGTCAAAATTTTTAAGAAAGCGACGGACAGTGTCTCTTAGTCCGTCGCTTTTTGGTCAAAATATTGGTCAAACATTTTTTTTTAAAAGCGACGGACATAGAGATGTAGTCCGTCGCTTTCTTTAAAATATCTGCTAGTGCAGACGGTATTTTTCCCATTTCTACATCTCTCTTCTTTCTCTCTTCTCTCCGTCCCTCTTC